TTACCAATTATTGTCAGCATTGACAACTGCCAATGAATGTATTGGATGTTATACATTACTTACCAACCATTGTCAGCATTGGGAACTACCTATGAATGTGTTGGATGTTATGCATTACTTACCAACTATTGTCAGTATTGATAACTGCCTTTGAATGTGTTGGATGTTATACATTACTTACCAACCATTGTCAGTATTGATAACTGCCTTTGAATGTGTTGGATGTTATACATTACTTACCAACCATTGTCAGTATTGAGAACTGCCAATGAATGTGTTGGATGTTATACATTACTTACCAACTATTGTCAGTATTGAGAACTGCCTATGAATGTGTTGGATGTTATACATTACTTTCCAATCATTGTCAGTATTGAGAACTGTCTGTGAATGTGTTGGATGGTATACATTACTTACCAATTATTGTCAGTATTGAGAACTGCCAATGAAAGTGTTGGATGTTATACATTACTTACCAACTATTGTCAGTATTGAGAACTGCCTATGAATGTGTTGGATGTTATACATTACTTTCCAATCATTGTCAGTATTGAGAACTGTCTGTGAATGTGTTGGATGGTATACATTACTTACCAATTATTGTCAGTATTGAGAACTGTCTGTGAATGTGGTGGATGTTATACATTACTTACTAACCATTGTCAGCATTGAGAACTGCCTATGAATGTGTTGGATGTTATACATTACTTACCAACCATTGTCAGCATTGAGAACTGCCTATGAATGTGTTGGATGTTATACATTATTTACCAACCATTGTCAGTATTGAGAACTGCCTATGAATGTGTTGGATGTTATACATTACTTACCAACCATTGTCAGCATTGAGAACTGCCTATGAATGTGTTGGATGTTATACATTATTTACCAACCATTGTCAGTATTGAGAACTGCCTATGAATGTGTTGGATGTTATACATTACTTACCAACCATTGTCAGCATTGAGAACTGCCTATGAATGTGTTGGATGTTATACATTACTTACCAACCATTGTCAGTATTGAGAACTGCCTATGAATGTGTTGGATGTTATACATTACTTACTAACCATTGTCAGCAATGAGAACTGCCTATGAATGTGTTTTATGGTATACATTACTTACCAACCATTGTCAGTATTGAGAACTGCCTATGAATGTGTTGGATGTTATGCATTACTTACCAACCATTGTCAGCATTGAGAAGTGCCTATGAATGTGTTGGATGTTATACATTACTTACTAACCATTGTCAGTATTGAGAACTGCCTATGAATGTGTTGGATGTTATGCATTACTTACCAACCATCGTCAGTATTGAGAACTGCCTATGAATGTGTTGGATGTTATACATTACTTACCAATTATTGTTAGCATTGATAACTGCCTATGAATGCGTTGGATGGTATACATTACTTACCCACCATTGTCAGCATTGATAACTGCCTTTGAATGTGTTGGATGTTATACATTACTTACCAACCATTGTTAGCATTGAGAACTGCCTATGAATGTGTTGGATGTTATACATTATTGTGTATGAGAATTGGTTTGTTTTTGTTGTTAATTTTCAATACACATCTTACTGTAGTGAAGTTCTATCCATATTTCTTGTTATATAACTCAGTGGTTCTTTTTGTTAGCTCTCATAAATCCATTCCAGTATGTACCAAGAGGTGATGTAAATGCCTATCAAAACAGTACACTCGCTCAACTGAACATTGTACACACATTAATATGTATAGCAACATAAACCAGTAATTGCAGTTGTTGTATTGAATCATTACAATAATACTTACATTGACCATATGAATACATTCTTTAATTTACATTAGTGTATACACACATTATAGATTAAAACCAGTAAATGGAATTCATCCATTTCATTACAAGGATAATTGTATCATGAAACCATGCTGGAAGTGGACAGGTAATGGAAAGTACTTTTAATGGTGTGTAATTAAATGCCTACTACAAAACGAAGGGCACTTTTGTTAAACTTTTCAAAAAATAAATACATGTCAATGAGTGATTTAAATAGAAAAATCACAAATGAAAGAAATGTTTCATATTGATAACAGATACAGATAACCTCCAGAAACTCAGAAGAGGCAATAGTTATCGTGCTGATACCTCATGCTCACAATCCATTTGTGTTCCCTTTGACAGAAGTTCTGTATTATTAAGCAGCACTTGTAATGTGTAGTCATTATCTCAGGGAATAACTGCTAAATGAGGGAGTTCTTGAACTCTTCGTAGAATTCACCCGGACATCTGCAATGATTTATGTGAGAGCGCAACTTTTTCCTAAATTTTAAAAGAGCATTCGCCCAGGACTGAAACCCAATTTTCTTTAGATCAGTCAGACTGACCGAGCTAAGAAAGTGGTTGGTGAAGGAATGCGGTTATTAACTGTGGCTTGTTGGGGAGCATAGACTGATTTTTGAATTTCGATCCGACATTTTCATTTGTATTGTTTTGCTTCACTGTGAATTTGAGTGACGTATGTTAAGTGCATCCGAGCAATATGTAAATTGTCCCAAAATAATCCCAGAACACATGAGTACTCTATATGCAAATGTAGTTAAATATGGATATACTCGTCTGTCCTTTCACATGCGTTTTCTCAGTGTAACACCATCTGTTTGCTCATCTATGAATTTACGCAAGTCTATTGTTTGCAAGGCGGGTTGCAAAAAACGAGCTCTGTTTACCATTCTTGAAAACGACGAAGAACCAGAATATAAGAACACCGATGATCCTATAATGTATTAAGTGAGAAAAATGTTAATATATTCACTACAAGATATTTTTTTTAAACAGTGACAATTCTAGACATTGGTTGTTGTAACCTGGTCTATTTTTTGTATTTCAAATGCGATGTATTCCCGTGTATATTTGTATTGCTACAGAAACCAAACCTATGTTTTTTATTCGTATTCATTATATTGTTTCCACCTGTTTCGACACCTGACCTCATATACTGCTATACTGCTATGCGATTTCATTTCTACCCCAGATGTCACATATAGGAAGTGTGTATTTATATCCCGCCCAATAGTATTTTTTCAAATAATATATCAATCTACCAATATTTTCGCAATTACTCTATTTACTGCTACACTTATTTATTCCTTATTTTGAATCACGCAAGGTTCGTTATGAGTGGTGTCTGCATGTTCAGTTGAACAATCATAAAAGTAAATCTGACTTTGGCCATGCATTTACTATATATTGTAAGATTGTAAACATGAAGTGAATTGACGCAGAATGACTTACGACTACAGATTTCTTGCTCCAAAAGTGCAACATGGTAGTTATCTAATCTTATCTCATCTCGGATTTTCACTGGATACGATAGGCGTGTTATATTCTCTCTTGTAACAAGGTTGACAACATTTGCATCATTCAACCTTTCTATAATTTCCTGTATAGGAATAAGTATGCAATTTAATTGGAAACTACTTATTCAATAATAAGAGATAACACTCGATATCAATGGATATTTCTTTGTGTCATTGTTTTGCGACACGAAAGCAATATACTCACTACGCTAAATGGAGGAAATGCTACATATACACATTGTAGGTTTCTTTGATTCATAAATTGTTTAACATGTTCGGCCACTACAGAAGCTGTTTTGCTTATAGCCATTCTCTTGTAACATTGTATGTGTCTGTGCGCACATCTGAAAGATAAGTATACGATATGTGTGTGAATTTTAAAAGACATGGGATTTTTACAAGATGATCAATGGCGAAGTGGAAATAATATAATCAACATTTAGATCAATAAAGAAAAGTTAAATCACAAAACAACTACACAAATACATAACAAATTATACATCACAAAACATTGTCAAATCATTGAAAGAAAAACACAATGATATTGATGTCATCTGGGATTATCTGTTGAACTCTTGAATGTTAAGGCTCAACCTTTTAGTTTAATAATTTGGACAAAATAACCATGCTCCTTCAACTCTGTACTAAAGATGTGTAAAATTGATGACGGTGAAATTAAAACCATCTCCTGTGTCGCACAGTCTGGTACAAAGCAGGCCCTTACAGCCAAATTCAAGGCGCGGATCTAAGTATAAAGCAAAACAATAATAATGTGTGTCCGGACATATATCCGAATTGCGTGGTTACCATGCAATAAATTAACATGTGTGTGAGTGAGTAACCCTTGATTCAAAATGCCATACGGCCAGGAAGTGCTGTAACATGTATATACTTCATGCCATACAGCACGGGAGCGGCTCTTGGTTCAAAAAGATAAATCATCATAGCATGGTTATCACTCGCAAGATGTTGTGCTGCTGCTAAATAAAATGCAGATTTGTTTGTATAAATAATGACTGGCATAAACAAGAATTTTACAACACGGTTTCAAGTTATACAGTCCGGAAGTTGTGCAATATGTATAGACCTGAAACCATACAGCCAAGAAGTGGTGCAACATGTAAAGACCTCATGCCATACAGCCAGAAAGTGGTGCAACAGGTATAGACCTGAAACCATACAGCCAAGAAGTGGTGCAACTTGTAAAGACCTCATGCCATACAGCCAGGAAGTGGTGCAACATGTATAGACCTAAAACCATACAGCCAAGTAGTGGTGCAACTTGTAAAGACCTCATGCCATAAAGCCAGGAAGTGGTGCAACATGTATAGACCTAAAACCATACAGCGCGAAAGTGGTGCAACATGTATAGACCTCAGGCCATACAGCAAGGAATCACTGGAAATCCACGGCTTTTATAATCTGGAAGTGGTGTGCGAGCAACTCTGCATACATACAAACATGTATGTGGAATTGTGTACCCCTCATGGTTTCGTGAGAGTGCCGGGAGATTGCTGTTGTAAAACAAATGAACAATTACCGATTGTGCTGTAATTGGTATGTACTCACTGTTCACCTGTCTTGTTCCTCCAGTGCATTGCTAAATATGGACCACCATCACATATTCTTTCCGAGATTACGTCTGCTAAACGGACGATTTCTTTGGTTCTCAATAAATGTAAATCTATTTCATTCTCAAGCTTTTTTGGTACCGATACTTTGCAAAACCTGCCCGGCGCAAACAGCGCCAGACACTCGTTCCCATCAGAGACATTTAGAAAAGCTTCCCCATTCGCTTGTATTATTGAATGTTTCTGAATCTTTGGGAGATGTATATCATATGATGAAACAAACCTGTTTCGTATGGTCGTGTACGTTTCTCTCAACTTTCCAGACAATTCACACCCACCAGTAAATATAACTTTGTCAACTCTTTGATTACACATTTCTCGAAACTTGTCAACACTGATCAAGTCCACAATTTCTCTTATTTTATCTTCTTGAAATGTTTCATTGAGGAATTGTATACCTTCATAAGATTTACCCGCTGTCCAATGGTTAAAGAAAAACATTTCTACGAGAGTTAGGTTTTCTTGAATCGCGTATTTCATTGCTCCTCTGAAGGCTTGGTATTGACAATTTGGTCCATTATCATCAATATACACCGGAATAATGTACCTCTGCTGAGTAACAATAACTGATTTCTGAAACATCACAAGTAAAACAAAAACTGTCGTAAAATAAATAAAATAACAATATTGTCGTTGAGTAAAATTTGAGAATGTTGTCTATAAGCGCATATCGCTGTGATAACGATATAATAACACGTGTGATGGTTTCTGACGTCATAACATCCAGGGCATGGACATGGCAGCAGACAGCAGCAGTTGATCTAATGTTTCATTATAGCCATGAAACAGCTCGTTTCCGTTGTGCCAGTTCTTTCATTTACCACCCAAAGGCATTATATAAAAAATACCATCATCTAGTGGTTGCTATTTGTCGAAGTAATTGGGCGAAAACTGTATAATATTATATGGATTGATACAAATATACCACACCAGTAATTAATTAAAAAAATAATATGACCATGGTTTCTAGAAAAGGTCATACCATCTTTACAATATGAATGGAAGAAATAGTATACCAAAAGTGTAAGTAAATATAACCAAAAATCTATATTGATTTAAATTGTACCTGAGCCATTTTGTTCCCTGTTTCAATTAGTTCCGATGTTGTTTTGACAATGTCTTTCCCGACAGTCACTTCACGTCGTGTTGATTCGTTGTCAAATTCCATCAATACAGTTTCAAATGTGTCTGGAGTTGCTTTGTGAACAACCATGTTTTTGCACATGGTAAAATATTGTCTCTGTGAAAAGAATGCCGCCACAAGTAAAGCTCCAAAGACCATGAACATACATTTTCGCATTCTGATTTGTTTTCATTATATAAAGAGTTGCCCCCGAGCTGTTTAACATATGTCGCTTGTTACAGAATGCCAATTTAATTAAAATAATATATTTGGCGATATAATTACACTTACATCCGCAGTTTAAGCCTAGAATGGTCTTTACACTGTAAGTACACATAATTAATTAATATAGCTATGTAACATGTTGCTGTCCCTTTTCACGCAATAAATATAATATCAGAATTATCAGCTGTCGCACGCATTATACTAAGAAAAATTAACCACGGTGGTCCACCGGGTTCTGATGTTCCATTATAATGTATATGCGAAGCGAAAAATACATGATGTGCCAAAGGTGCACATCTGCAATGTTATGTCGTTAAAAATTAGTAGTAGTAACATGGTGAGCTGATCACAGATCAAATCATGATATGACAGAGAAAATACTGATCACCACGCAAGTATTGTCATGTATATAATGCAGGACCATGTAGTGCAAACATCATATTCAACATCAGAAAAATGTATATTATAATTATAAACAACTGACATATATTACCTATCCATTCACCCTCATATAACAATAAACATGAATAAACTATTCTAGTTTTGCTCATCTAATCATTTGGAGGTGAAATATGGCAGTCATTTACTTATGCAAATTAAACAATTTATTTTCAACCTTAGGCGTCATGTATCCCCTCATAATATATACAATTTGTTTTTATTTTAGCATCATAAATCACAAGACATGCAAGGCCAGATTTTCTAAAAAACATAGTTATTTTCAAGTGTCTGGCCAGAAACTAACGAGGGAGTCTCAAAGGGGAGAAGTTTAAATTAAGTAGAACAAATTACTTATGGGTGGTACCAACTGAATCATTTCTTTCTGCACAATATCATGAACTGACTCTTTTTAACATGATTATTCAAATAAACCCATTAATAGTGTCAACAAGAGCACATGTTAAGAATGTTATGGTTCCAAATTAATAACAGCTTGTGAAATACATTCTAATTGTGCATTATTTGAATAGTAATTGGAATAGATATACATTCTAGTTGTGCATTATTTGAATGTTGATTTAACATAATAGACGTCTTTTACAAAATACTTAAAATCACACTATAATCATGATTAAACTTTTCTATGTATATTACATATTCTGAAGTATGTACTAATAAGAATAATATCTGTACACTATTTTGATAGCATGTAAGTTTCAAGTTTTGTAAATCTGTTCCATTTCCCTATTACTTTCTAAATAATCAGCTCTTACTAACTGTTCTATCATGAGAAAATCAATCATTTTGGAAGGTGGTTCAGGTTGGTTTGTGGAATTTCTGACACCATAAAGTATCTGGTTCGTAAGAATGGAATAGAAGAATCAGTATGTGATATAATATCGACTAGACCAGCTCTTGGAATCTTGGAATGATAGGTTGTGATATTGGTGTTGATGTTTGTTTAGATAGTGATGTTTTCATGCTAGTTTCATGCATGTGTCTATTATTTTATTTGCGCTTCATATAAACACGAGAGGTATTATTGTATATACTGCAGTAAATAACAATAATAATACAATAATTGAATCGGCTCAACCACATAAGGTAACATGTTATACTTGGTACTGTACTTGTTGCACATAATATTCAATATTCATACAATTAACTCAAAGACAGTTGGACTACAACTGATGTCAAATCACAAACAAATATGACAAGGAATCAAAAAATACAATGTCTTCCAGTTGAAAGGTCGAAACCAAAAAGTACCTCTCCATCACGTCTGAACGCGCTAACATTGCTATACAATGGCCCTTAAACTTTCTTCTTCTTCCTGTCAAGGCTTCCTTGTTAATATTCTGCTAGATTTCTACAGTATAACACCATATGTTCCATATGAACATGGTTGTACCAAATTTTAGCGTATATTAAAGTACAGATTTCCACACACATTCTTACCAAACTCTCCACCATTACCCACATATATAGGCGCTACACTTGCAAACATTGAACAATTACTGCACCAAGACAACACTTAATGACGTATATCATAATGTATGGTAATAACCAAATTTGAATATTCATAAACTATTTTCCAGGGTCAAAATCACCCTTTACATAAAACAACTGTAGTATATTGAAAAGTGTTTTGTTTCATAATTCTTAAAGAATAAGTGAAAACAGTGCCAATTACGTCACTGTGCAACCATGATACAAATATTCCGATTATTCAGGTCAGGTTTGTTTGTAAAACTTTACATGGTAAATATCTAGAACAATAGTCGTAGCATATATAAAATGTTATTTAGTTGATTGTTTGTCTGTCAAGGGAGCAATCAAAGGTTGTATTTATTGTGATTTCGACCTGAAGAAGGTATAATAGATTTGATCTGAACTCAAGTGTGATAAATATCATGGGTGTATCTAAACAATTTACAATAATATCTTATTCAAACAAATTTATTCAGAGAAACCCCTCATGTGTGTAACAACTCCAGTATCCTCGGGGGCGGAGCTACGTCACAAACGTTCTACGTTGCTAAGACGCGCATCACTGTACCACGTAAATCTATGAGCGTTGTGCGCGCTGCTGTGGAACGCCGGTGGAGCCGGTGAAAATTCGAGAAAACAACACAAACTCAACTTTGAAGTAATCCTGAACAACCAAATTCATACATGTTACACACGTAGGGCTAATCTTGTTACACTGTTCAGGGGACTCTCAACAACCATTGCAAAGTACCGTTTTCTGCGAGTTTTTGATCTTTGTTTTCACCGCGAGGGTTGCCAGGCGGTAGAAAATACCCCGGATGTCCGCCCCCGAGGATAGGGAATTGCAGATGTTGTCATAGTTCTGAGCATGCGAACAGTGAACAGTCACTGTAATCGAAATCCGAAAATAACTGAAGACAATAATCAACATATTTTGCCTTGGCGTCCAATTTAAGCCAAATCTTTAGAAATATCCATACGACAACAAAGTAGCCGCCAGTGGCAATTGTAAATCAAATCACGAAAGGACGCACATCAGTAACAAACCATGAGTGACGTCAATACCAAGTTTAAATGAATTTGGTCAAGAAATGCCCGAGAAAGCGATGATGACATGTTCAACTATTGATTTTTGCCTAAAGGTTAACAAATTGATCTGCATATGTATCCTAACTTGAGGCGGGCAAGAGGGGTAGCTGGTACAGTTTTACGGGAAATAAAAAGGGCTTTTTACAATTTACAAGGAAAAAAGACGTTTTTACAGTTTACAGTGAAAATTGAATGTTTTCAGTTTACAGAGAAAATAAAGGTTATTTTACATTTTACGGAAAATTAATAAAGAAAACCTAGAAAATTCTTGTTCGTACCGAGAAAAATTACACATTTTTACAGTGTACGAAAAAATATCTGATTGATTACGTTGTACGTCTAGCCTGTGATTACAGAATTTATTTTTTCAATTTACATTGTACGAACAAAAAAAATATTGCAATTACGTTGAACGAAAATAACCCTTGCCCCCCTCTAACTTGACCTGTCTTTCTAACAACTCTGAAAAAACATCGACATGTCTGAAAAATAATGATGAATGGACGTACTACGGACGGAACCCAAAACATAAGTACCCGTTCCGGACTTCGTACGATGGTTTTCAGAACCTGTGATTCACTATTACTGAACACCTTTGATTACATATTATTTCGTGACAATGGATAGTACACATTCACATCTCTAACTGTCTTGAATATTTTTTTTATTATTATTACAACAACATATTTAACATATTTTATGCTATTGCAGAACATATTAATCCTGTTCTCAAAAATTTAAGTCTGAAAAGTCAAAATAAATAAATACACACTTCACCTAAGCCTCTCGTATTTTTTAGTTAGCTATAGTAATTCATCTATGTTTGAATGATTGTTTTTTTTTCGTTTTTTTTTTCGTATATTCTTCTATACTGTGTACATTCTCATACAGAACACATGGAAAAACATATAATGAAAAGAAAATTATGAACAATTGTATCATTCATGTGTACACATGCCATTAATCATATGACTGCATGTAAATTTTCAAAAATAATAATACATTGATTATATTGTTTTGTATTGCTATTTGAGCACGTGATGTTCAATGAATGCCATTTTCAGATTAGCTATCAATGTAAATTAAACAACCCGATCTCCACTAATAAAGTGAACATCGATACAACTGAATATTGCTGAAAATGAACACAAATAACAATTCCTTGTAAGATAAAACAGTGAAAGCCACACAAACGTTTCCCATGCATTATTTGGCTTGATCGATGCATTACAAAGTGTTTTCATTTATTAGTGTTCCGTGTTCTGGGGAATTAACACTACCAGGTTGTCGTCTTAGACGATGTCAGATTTGAGTCTTGGTAACTAGATGTATACCATGTAAATGCAGTTTTAGAACAGAATACCACGCTATATTATGATTAAATTTAGAAATCTAAGTTCTAAGACTACATTTAAATTGTGATAAATTAAGTATTTTATAGTAGTAAAAAAGATAATAAAAAATAAGTAAATTTGATTATCAGATTTACTAGAAATGTATCCAGTAAATCAAATTCATTGGTCAATGCTTATTAACGAACCCAAGGCAATGTGCATTGTTATATGAGATAAGAAAATAACAGGCAAGATATTCTTACAATCTCCAGTAAGACAACGTGCGAATTGCCGGATGGATCAGTTTTCAAATATAGTCGATACACATGGTGTAGTATTAAAATTGTCAAGAGATGTATGGATCATAATTATGAGAGACGAGTTGTGTTGTGCACAATAGATTGATTGATAGACGCGTTTAGCACTACACGCACAATTGTTTGGAAGTGGGTCGTGCTGCGTGCCTCAGATGTCGCTTCTAGTGGTATACTTGACTTATAGGCGAGCGGT